CGCAGATAGCCCTCATGTAGCTTTGCGCGAAATTCAAAAACAAACAAACAAACAAGACAGAAGTAGACAAAACATATATTATACGCTATGTTTAGGAGGTTTAAAACAAGGTTACGTTTGAAGGAGTCTTGTATGAAACTGACGAGTCGAATATATAAATTAGTAATTGTTTTATTACGGTGAAAAGAAGTAGCAAGGAGACTGCTTGTTTTGTTTTCTTGGACATCTAAAAATCCAAGTTATTGTCTTCTTCCGTCTCGTATGTAAAGTATGTATATAAGGATGTTGCAAGCTTAGGTATTCTAGAAATTTCTTGTCGTGATCAGTGTTGTGAAAAAGTAGAAAAACACCATCAACGTATCTTCTGTGTGTGTGATCTGTTTTATAATAGAGGGGACATTTATCCAGCTACAGACGTTCATAATAAGAGAAAAATATTTGCAAGTGTTAGGCCAAGGGGTGATCCCATCGCCTCTCTGTTTACCTGATCTTAGAAAAGAAGTGATTGTCCTGGAGGACTAATTTAAGAAGCTGTTCGAATTTTTGTCAGTTAAAGCTAGAGTGCAGGGCAACTTTGGTTGGGATTAACTGTTTAATAATTATTTTAATTGTTTCCTCAACTGGAATGTTAGTGAATAAGAACTGAATATCAAAGCTGGCCATAACAAATTGGTTTGCATTAGGAAATGTCTTGAGCAAAGGAAAAAGAGTCTTTATCAGTGGATTCGTTCTTAGTTAGTGAGCGTGTAGGTGTTGGAACAGAGAGTAGCTAGAATAGCTGTGAAGGGTGAATTATTTTTGTGTATTTTCGATAAGCCATACATGAAACCAGGGCGGGAACCTGAAGGATAAAGTTACGCAAAAGTGGTGTCAGAGATGAGTTTACAATTTATGGAATATATTAAACTCCGTTGAAGCTTTTTCTTACGCTTGAGAGTAGGCTTAAGCCAATCATTATAGAGAGGTTTAAACTTTGTTCTGTTGTTTAAAGCGTCTTCCATTTTGGAGATATAATCAAATCTGTTAACACATAGACTTTTATCTGGCCTGATATCGAAACCCGGATTCTAGCGTTGTAAGCCCGCAGACATACCGCTGTGCCAATGGAAGATGAGGGTGCGTATATGAGCTGACAATGCCGAATTGGTATAACATTTTTACATTTCACACTTAAGTTTACTAAAATTAAAGATGAAATTGTCAGGATTTATGTCACTAAATTTTCGCAACAAAATTAATTTGTTAAGCTTAACAGCCTGGTTGTGTTCAAGCTAATTCGTTATGACCATTTTTGATATTCTCTCCTCATTCACTAACAGCTCACTTGAGGAAGCAATCCAAATAACTATTAAACAGTTAATCCCAACCAAAGTTACTCTGCGCTCTAGCTTTTAGTGACAAAAATTCCGAACAACTTATAATGGCCCTCGAGGACAATCACTTCGTTTTTAATGGTCAACTTTATAACCAGATAGAATGGATGGCGATGGGATCCCCAACAAGTCTGACACTTTGGAATATTTGTCTCGGTCATTATGAACGTCAATGACTTGGTAAATGCTCATCTATTACAAAACAGTATTATATAAAATATTCGTTGATGATACTTTTCTACTTTTTAACAAAACTTATCATGCTAAGAAGTTTTTAGAACAGAATTAAGCTTGTCATTAGTATACTTGACATTAGTATCAGGCCTATTATATTTTCATACACGATGTTGGGAAAACATGTAGGTTCAAGAAATCAATTTAACACAAAGATACCATACCCTATATCCCGAGCACTTTCTTCTTCAGTTTGCCCCTGAAGAAGAAAGGTCCACCTATCGAAAGCGCTCGGGTTATAGGGTATCGCATTTTTATGTTAAAATACTTTTAAATACTTCATTCTTTATCTAGTTCCCTAGGGATTTTTAAGAGCTAGAAAAGTTTTTAGAATACCTAAACTCGCAATATTCATATATAAAGTTTACATGTGAGATAGAAGCAAGCAAAGTATCTTAGCTTTTTGAGACGGCCATGCAAAAAAAAACAAAACTATCTATTTGCCAAGTCTGTTTACCAAAAGAAAATATTTACTTGCTTATACACTAGTTTCGACATTTTCACACCAGACGTCTTCAATGGTAACCTTGTTGTCAGTCTCCTAAGAAGAGTGTATAATATATGTTCTGACTACTTTTATCTTCACTCTGAAATTTCAAAAAGTGATAACATATTAAAAAGGGATAACTATTCTCTTAATTTCGTACACCTTATCACACCAACAATTTTAACAAATAGAATAGAATCTACCAAGAAGCCAGAGACAGTCTCGAAATATTCGCAATTCTTTTGCGAATTTGTTTTTTCATGGGTAAATAATTTTAATCTTAAATCCCGAATGCAAAAAATAATCAAGAAAAATTAAGCTACATTTAGTATTGAAGTCAACATTTATAATTAACAGTTTGTTTAAAACCAAGACACTACCCATCTCTATGCGCTCGTTTATCGTTTATAAATACACTTTTGGTAGCTATAAAGCTACCTAAATTGGTAAAACAGCACGCCATCTACAAATACGTGCACACGAGCACATGTGAATTTCATCTATAAGGAGATATAAACTAACCGAGTCTTGTATCTGATTGTATAGTGAGAAGAATAACCACTCCATACTTCTTGAAAACTTTAAAATTCTCGACCCCGGAACAATAGATTACTAACACTATTAAATAAAGCCTCTCCATTTTCAATGGTCACCCAACACTAAATAATAACATCAACTTCTCCTTTTTTTGTAATTAATTGAATCAATTACAGATTTTTCACTGTTTTTATCTGATTATTAGTTTTTAAGATTCAGGGTTTATACTTATATTTAAGCCTTTCTTTATAATTTGTTTTCTTAACAATATTATTAAACATGTCTGCCGCACGTTTTATCTTACACTCCAATATATTGTTACCGTTAAATCTGTTTGTTTTTTCTAAACTTTTGTTTGTATCATAAACTTCTCGCTTAATAGTTAATGTTATTATTTTTTCGTAATTAGAATATTGTGAACTGACTGTTTGAAAACCTGGAACAAATCCGGAACTTCCTTAATTAAAAACATACATCCACTAACCAAATCTCATTTTATCCAATTGGAATCTTGGTGTCCTTTGAGATAACTGGAAAACATACAAACCCACACTTTTGAAGAAAATCATACAGAAATATTAAAAGAAAGGTTTGTCGTCAAGCTAGAACTAAAAATAGATTTAATATCACACTGAAACGATATTATTATTTGAATTTATGTATTGCATTAGTTAGAAATCACTACGTTTGCCATTCTAGCTATTAAAGCTATAATCATTATGAAATACTCTACTTTTGTAATGTTTGAATTATAAAAAACTCCATATTGGATCCTCCTAGATTTATTACCATTATTCTTTAGAACTTAATGACATGATATTATTTTTCATAAAGCAATAGAATACACTTACGACTGAATAAATGGAACTGATTTTTAACAAAGTTTTCTTTTTAAAGTGCCACTGCAGCACGTATTATTAAAAACCTTCAGTGTCATTCAAGACAGATCCAGCGGTGTCTTCATTAAAGTACGTTATTGAAATTGGTGTTGTTAAAAGGAACATTAAATTTTTCCGTTGCTGTCTTTTTAAAATTGATTTTTATCTTGAATTAATATGGGATGGTATTACACTATATCATAGTTATGAATACATATTTTTAATATCAAGAAAAATTCCCTTTTCAACCAAACTGATGGTCGAAACAAAGGTATACGATTTATTCAAAGCACTACATTTCATCATAAATTTAAGTGGTACTGACGTTAATGACGCTTCGAATTTAACTCTAAGGGAAGTTGACTCTGAATATTTTTGAAATAAATATTACTGAAACTTAATTAGACTTTATTTCTTAATCATCACCAAAGTATAGATAAAATTTAGTGTTAAAATGGTGTCTTTAAAAACACCGTTCTTTCGTCATTAGTTTTCGGACAGGTCATCAGATTTCCGCAGTTGATCAGCGGTAAGCTTGATGGCCTATAACGCTAAAATTCGGGGTTCGTTTCCTATAGTAGAATCATCACTGATAGCCCATTGCGTAGCTTTGCTCTTAACGACAAATGAACCAAAAAATACAAACAAAAAATATATTTATTGCAAAGTCAGATAAGCGAAATTTTATAAACCATTGACTTGATCTGATTATTTTAAACCCAAAGGTTGTTATTACTTTATTAGTTTTGTGTGTCTCACGTTATAATGTTCATAGAAATTAGATGTTTAGCACACGCCACTCTAATATATCGCCAATAAACTAATACGCTCTAATAAGTGGCACAGCTCATCTACGTAAAATAATTCAGAAATATCGGCTGAACATTTATTTTTCTTACATAATTACAACCAACGTCATGTGAAAATAAAATACAACTTGGAGTTTATTTGATACAAAATTTTCTCTCAAGTGTTGTTATCTATATATCTTCTTTCATAAGCATTGACATTGAATGGACAACAGCGCCATCTAGCGCTAAGAACGTTTCGTACACTCCAAAGACATCGGACTCATTGTTGTGTGACAAAACCAGAAGTTCAACATCTTGATGTTGTGGACAGTGCCAATGGTGGAGTTATTCAGGTGTGTTTGATGTAAGATAAGCACAGTGTTATTACAAAACATTTTCTTAGTTTATTCTGACTTTAAAGTGCTTTCAACAAAACTTTCATTAATTATGATTCAGTTACAAAATAAACCTGAAAATTAATATTACAATAATTACAAGATATAACAACTTTTAATGATGCTGTCGCATCGGTATGTTAGTTTATTTGATCTATTCGTCAATAACTAATGGTTCATTCCATTTATTATAGTAGACCAATCATTTCACTTGTCCTGGGGAGGACTGGAATGCTGAAACCAGCAGTAGGATATTTTAAAGCAGCCCTGAGGACTAAATCACAAAACACTCATATTACGTATTGGTCTGAGAGCAGTCTCCCTCTTCTAAGTTCTATTCCATTATTTCAAGATGCCCCCCCCCCAGGGACACAGCGGCATGTCTGCGCAATTTACAACCCTAGAAACCGGGTTTCGATAGCCGTGGTGGGTAGAGCACAGATAGCCCTTTGTGTAGCTTTGCGCTTAACTATAAACAATAAACAAAACAATATTTCAAGATCTCTAAGCCCGTATAAAATTTCATTAGCTGTTTCTTGAACTATCGTGTTTAAAGTTCTTCCATAAGTAGAATAAAACATGCAGATTATTTCAAAATCACTGATATTTCTTAACATCTATTAGAGACCACGAATATGGGGTTTCAACGTAACACTACCATGAGCCCTTTTTGTAATTTGCAAGTGTTTAGTGTTTGACTTAAGTGTCCTTTTGAAGTGTTTCCATTTTAACTATAGTAGCTACTGAACTTTGTGAAAAGTTCTAATTTCAACATGTTTTATTAAACACCCATATCCATAAAGCAGCGAGGCTGCAGTGCTCTGATAGTAGGATTTTCATTATTCATACTCTACGACAAGAGAATCACTTACGAGTTTAAACTCTGTGAACTGGAACATCCGGTGGATTTTGCCTAAAGCTGCGGATAACATGACAGGTATGGCAGCCCTGCCCAAAACAGCCCCAGAAGATCTGGTTCATTGTGAATAGTACCAAGTGCGTTTGGGCTAATCTGCCATTTTGAGTTCAAATCAAACTTGTCCGTGTGTTCATTTCAGAGTCTGTCTTTGTTATGTAAAGCATCAGGCAGTATTCACACTGGGTTCTTTTCAAACGGTCTCATTTTAGTTCGTTTGCTTTGATGAATGTGCTAGTTGTTCAGACTTCTTGCCTTGTGTACAAATGTGCCGAATTTATTCCGTGATTTGTCAACACTCACCGAAACCTTCCAATGTTAACACTGATGTTTTTCAAGCGAAACAAACCGAGTTGTTCACATTGTTCTCTAAACGAGCTAAACCAAAGTGAGTACTAAAAAACATCCGAGTGTGAACTGAAAAACATCCAAGTATGAACAAACCTTTGTTTAACCTAAATGATTTTCAGATAACATAGCAAAGAGAATAATACCCCTAGATAAGTTATCCAAATCGTTACAATTCGAAGAATCAATTAATATTAAGTTTTATCAGAAATCACAAGTAAAGTTAACACAGTAAATAACGTAATTAATCTAATCTACGGGTCTAACTAGGAATACGTAGTGTCGTATAACAAAGACTAATAATGATTAAAATGTATTCATTAGTTGACATATTTATTGTTATCAAATAATTTCAATCGCTATCTCTATAATATACCCAGAAGTTCCGTCATCTTAGGAGATTTATATAAGTCTTAAACCCATATATTAAGCTAACAATGCAAAATAATTCCCATAAATAAATAAATATAATATATATATATATATATTAAATATTTTAACCAATACTGATAATGAACCTAACATTAAAGAAAGACTTACACATACAAAAAAAAAACAGTTGTTTGCTTCATGCAATATTATTAATTCTCTAATATCATCCGGATATATATATATCTTTTTTTTTTAACAGAAAGCAGGCGTCTTTGTTGTGTAAAAGTTTGTTTAACTGTTTTGTGATTACTAATGGTAACGTTTAAATGTATGTAGATGTATCTAATCACTCTGATTATAAGAATACTTTTTTTTGTTGTTGTTTAGGAAAGAGGAGAAAAATACAAAAATAAGTGAATCGTAAACAAATCGGTCAAGCTATTGGATAGTTAATTTACAGTTCAGTATATAGTCGTTTACTCCGATGAAAAAAAAGGTGTATAACATTGATCTACACTGAAAAAAACAACAACAAAAAACGAGAAACGTTCCACTAATATTTTAATTGTGTTCGGAAACAGTCTAGCTCACTTACGAAAAAAAACTAGTGAAACATCCGTCCTTCCGTGTTTGTAATCAGTTTGTTTTCCAGTTAGTAAAGTTTCTTCGTTTTCCTTAAAACAAAATTGCATAAAATTTTACAAACAAAGGGCGTTACTTGTAACGAAAATAAACATAAAAAACAGTTGAAATAATAATAATTTCTTACTGAGTTGTCTTTTTTTAACATTAGTAAAAATCATTCTGCCCCTTTTTCTTTTAAATCCGATTCAATCTGTTCGTCCCATATTTTTCTTTCAAATTCCTTTATGCTTGCTTGATGACGTAAGCCCAATTGAGACATTTTTCATTCTCTCTTAAATGGCCCGGCATGGCCAGGTGGTTAGGGCGCTCGACTTGCAATCTGCGGGTCGCGGGCTCGAATGCCCGTCCCACCAAACATGCTCACCCTTTCTGCCGTGGGGGCGTTATAACGTGACGGTCAATCCCACTATTCGTTGGTAAAATAGTAGCCCAAGAGTTGGCGGTGGGTGGTGACGACTAGCTGCCTTCCCTCTAGTCTTACACTGCTAAATTAGGGATGGCTAGCGCAGATAGCTCTCATGTAGCTTTGCGCGAAATTAAAAAAACAAAAAAAAATCTCTCTTAAAAACATCAATACGAAATTACGTGCGAAAGTTATGTTACTTTTTCAATAGTAGTCAAGACTTACGAAAGTTAGTCTATGTATAAAATCTAAAAGTTTATGGGTTCGAGATGAGTTACACTGTTTTGGGTTCAAGGGATACCCAATAAGTCACATTGTTTAGAGTTCAGAGTACGAGATGTGTTACTTATGTTACTTTTTCATTAGTAGTCAAGATTTACGAAAGTTAGTCTATGTATTAAATCTAAAAGTTTATGGGTTCGAGATGAGTTACACTGTTCTGGGTTCAAGGGATACCCAATAAGTCACATTGTTTAGAGTTCAGAGTACGAGATGTGTTACACTGTTTAGGGTTCAGGCTGAATTGGTAAATTATGGGAATGTTTCCTCTGGATAAGCCTATGGGAGCCAGTGAATTAAAATATCTTTTAGAGGGATTAAAGATATAATGTTCTGCTTATAATAAGAAAGTATCAAGCCAACCATATTATTGGAATCATATTTATTTTATTAAACGCTAGAAAACAATTTCGGGAAAATAATCACTTTTCCGTTTTAACTGAACCGAAGAGATAACAAGTAAAACCTATCTTGATAAATCAACCCACAAGCTTGAATTAAGGCGAAATTGGTATCAGTCACAGTATATTTTTTGTGAATGTGGGCACCTGGTGGCAATAAATGAACACGTAGGTTCAAGAAATCTTGATAGAAATAAATAAAAACCTTATAACCCTATTACCTGTCTTGTGCATTTACGTCAACAAAACTATTAAGAATTCGATACAGTAGGATTTCTTCTTATACGTTCACTATTCAATACATTCAAATAGTAAATGTCATGGAAAATTTTGCCTTTGAATCGTAAAGAAGTGTTATCTTTCATTCCTTCATTGAAAAACTGGCGTCGTATGGCACACAGTAGAGGTACATGCTAACTTTTGTATATTTAATAGCTATAACACAACAGATATGTCAAACGTTGTGCAAGGTAGGAAATATAACACATTGGTAACTGAAAAATTGTAGCTGGTAGACATTTTTATTTATTGTAATAATGGCAGACATTAGATGACACATCAAGGCATATATATATTTTTCTAGTCAATTTTAAAAGAAAATAAACATAGACTGGAGCTTACATTTCCAATGTTGAATACCATAGAAAGAACGCTCAAAACTGAATTTGTAACGATTTTAATATTTCAGTATCTGCTGGCTGCTTGTTGGAAGTGGAATTTTAGTGTTTTTTCGTTAGATGTGGCCACAGGAGGGCGCTCCGTTTCTGTTCTATTGCTCCACCTTTTCCACGAATATGGTTTCATTAAAGAGTTCCGACTGGATGCACTGAAAATCCTTCACTGTTTTAGTAAGTAACTTTGTATTTTATCTGCCTGCGTTACTTGCATTTTTTAACACTTCTGACGTTACTAGAAACTAGATGTACTTCCGCAGGGTTCCCGTAAGTGCTCTGTTTCAACAGTAAATAAAACCAAAATTAAGAGTAACAAATATTTTTATTTTTTACTTTTGAAGTTCGTATGTCATGCTGTGTTGCAGACGTGCAGAGAGCTTTATATTCGCATTTTATTTAAATTAAATAAAAATAAAACAAAAGGCAAAACTTTCTAGTCTTGAGATAGTATCATGTGACAGGAGTTTAAAATCGCGAACGGAAGAAATGAAATAAATTGAAGCGATTGAAGAATATCTCTACAATAAAAGAAGACTAAAACTTGAGCTGAACAAAATAATGCAGAAAATGACTACTGGGTTTCACTTTTATTTAAAAAAAGTTTTTTCCTAATTTTGAAGTAATAGACTAGTAAACCCCACCTACCGCCATCTTGTTGAATTAAATAGTGAGATTTGACCGACACTCTTATATACAACCGCAGCCCTAAAGTGGAGCGCGATTTCTTTCTCTTTTTTTGGCACAAAGGGCGTAACTTCAGCTCCAAATTCCCATACGCTAGCCCCCCCCCACAGCGGTATGTCTGCGGACCTACAATACTAGAAACCGGGTTTCGATACCCGTGGTTGGCAGACCACAGATAGCCCATTGTGTAGCTTTGTGCTTAATTCCAAACAAACAAACAAACCTATACGCTAATCAGTGGGCCGCGATTGGTCAATAGTAAACAGACTTAGATTATTATGAAATTTCAAGCAATTTGCAACTTGAAAGAAAATTGTCAAAAATACATATTTAAAAAAAGTTCCCGTCAGTAGAATTGTTTGTTCGTTATGGATTTCGCGCAAAGCTACAAGAGGGATATCTGCTCTCGCCGTCCCTAATTTAGCAGTGTAAGACTTGAGGGAAGACAGTTAGTCATCACCACCCACCGCCAACTTTTGGGCTACTCTTTTACCAACGAATAGTGGGATTGACCGTCACATTATAACGCCCCCACGGCTGAAAGGGTGAGCGTGTTTGGTGTGACGGGGATTCGAACCCGCGACCCTCAGCTTGCGAATCGAGCGCCCTAACCACCTGGCCATGCCGGGCCTGTCAGTAAAATATAAAAGGTTATCCCAATTGAAAACGTTAAAAATAAATTATATTAAAAGTGGGTTAAGAATTTAAAAAAAATCGTAAAATATAGAAACAATGACTGTGTTAATCATATAAAAAATGATTGAAAAATAGTATCCAGGTATATATAGAGTGTATATAAATTTATGTAATAAAAATGCCCCAAAAGTGTCGATTCCCAGTGTTAAAACAGTGCAAAATGTTATTTTATTTATTCAAATTTATAAATAATATATTCATCAAAACGTTTAAAACACCTAAGTGGATTCAGTACTACTACGATTCTTCCATGAGATGTACGTTAAATTAATGTATAGTCTAAAATTTTTTATTCGTTTCAGGACACAAATCAGTAAGTAAATGCATTTTTGGTATTAAAAATCAACGACGCTACTCTTAAATTGTAAATAAAATGTATATAATTTTCATAAGTTGCTTTCAAATTAATGTAATTTGCAAATAAACGCTCTAAATCTTTCGCACTTGCGTTAAAAAACATCGAGATATGTTTTTACATTTTCAATCTAAAATTTTTAAGGTTATTTGAGGTCGGAAATCATATAATTTTTCCATTCCACGATTTTTCAATATTCCCGTAGAATTCCAGCGCACTAAACTTCTTATACCTCGTCAGTATACAGAATTTTAACTTAATCTGTTGCACTATCTATAACGCCCTCTGGATGTAATTTCTATTGAAAATGAAATTTTTCAATTCATTGAGTCGAGGAACGAGGTATTATAGATTAGTCGTGGTATGACTTTGATAATTCCCGGAAAAATCAAAGTAGGCATGTGCATAAGGATTTGTAAGGTACACCAGTTTCAACCTTATTATCTCAAGTAATGCAAACAAAGTTATTCAAAACAGTTGATTTTTTATCTGCATATTTTACAATGAAATGTATATTTTCATTTAAAACTATCTAGAGCATGGATCACCGTTTCTAATGTATCTTCATCACACCATCTTCCAAATAAACAATTAGTCTTTACTATAAACCAAATAAACAAATAAACAATCATAGCCGGCTGGTTAGACTCGCAATCTGAAAGTCGCGGGTTCGAATCTCCGTCCCATCAAACATGCTCGCCCTTTCAGTCGTAGGGCTTTATAATATGACGATTAATCCCACTATTAGTTGGTAGAAGAGGTGATGACTAGCTCACTTTCCTCTAGCCTTTCCCCACTAAATTAGGAACGACTAGCGCAGATATTTCTCGTGGAGATTTGCGCGAAATTCAAAACAAACTAAAATCAAAAAGTGTCATCGCCATGTTGAAGTATCTGCTACCCGTTTAAACAACAACAACAATGGGTAATTATATAAAAAAGTTAAATAATACTTAATGCGTTTTATATTTCTGTGTATCAATGGGTAATTATATAAAAAAGTTAAATAATACTTAATGCGTTTTATATTTCTATGTATCAATGGGTAATTATATAAAAAAAGTTAAATAATACTTAATTAATTAATCAAGAACAACAAGCATTAGCATACTAAAGGATGTAGTCCTGATTGGAAGAAACGTTTTTCTGCGACAAGTGAACGAGGGAAATTGAATGAATTCACATCAGGTGTACAGTTTTAATAAACAATTATGAAAGATAACATTTTGTCAACGTCAAACAAAAACGACATGATCATTAACTTCTAAACCAGCATAGGAGATAAACTATCAAATATTACAGGACCGAATAGCGAAGCGAAAACAGATGTGCCCCCAACCCCCGCCTCCAATTAAACGACTCAAAAGTGACACGTTTTAACATAATTCAAGTTTTCATAATAATGGACATAACAGATACACACCTCCCAATCAGCTTTAATAATTTACAACAACTACCAAATTTCACGATTTACCAGCTCGGCTTGTCAAACTTTGTAGCAAATAAATATCTAACGAAAATAACCCTTCACACAAACTCGAACAACATGACATATACTATAACACCGGCTCTAGAATTCTCAAATAAAAAACACAGGAATTTTTAAGAAACTTCAGCATCAAAGATCTTAGTTAACATCACGGAACTATAGGAAAGGAAAAAAAGAATTAAAACTGAAACTGAAGGGGCGATAAACAGTCATCTCTACACGTGAAACCACTAAATGAAAATCTCTATAGTAGTCTTGAAAATTGGTCCCCTGAAATCTAGTGAAAATAAATCACACGTCACTATTATTTACTTGAACTAAAAATTAAACTTATTTATTGACGGAGTTGAAGAAAGAGATGAGATGCACAAAGTGAAACCAATAAGTTATTAAATTCTAACAGAAGTAGAGTGCACTATACTTACAGCCAGCACTGGTCTCTAAATTGGCGAGAGCTCACACCAGATGATCTAAGGAAGGTCTAAAGTCAATCTGAATATAAAGGAGAGAGCGTATTTACTATATACAAAACACAATAGTGTCCTTTCTCTCGGAGTGCATGAACCATCACGTCACTGTTTTTTACCCCACAAGTAAAAACAGAGAGGAAATATTCTCGAGGTATTACAAGATTCGTTAATGGATAAGATAGCTTCTAATATTTACACACTGTATTCATGTTCACTACGGCAATCATTCTTATGAGTAAGCGCACGTGGCACCGTAGGGGTGACCCAGAAAAATGTGTAACCAGAGCGACGGTAAATTGGCTACATTTCGTAATCAACTATGTATTGTTAAAACTATATGCGCACCGACATACTCGCATGTATGAAAACATTTAAAAAATTCATTGCGAAAAATAAAAGTTCCTCTGTACGAAATAACCAAGGAAATGAAACCCTGTACTCAGAAATCATTTACTCAATATGCTACATTACATTTCAGTAACCGTCCTCAGATACAGTGCTTTCGCAGATTCACGACGTACAAGTTTTAGTGCGAAGAGCCCACTTTTGGAAAACACTTTTCTAAAAAAAAACCCCTTTTGAAATATACTTACCTTTAAATATGCATTTCCTTGCCAGTGGTTACGTAAATGCTTAAGTTATGTTAAGAAATCACTGCAAATACGAAATGTTTCCTGGAATGTTCTAATCTAGATTAAAAATGCTCAAATATAATTATGTTTTCAGAATAAAAGATACCTTGTGTTCTCTAAAATTTTATGTTCTACAACTACCATTTACAGTATATTTTTTATCTATTATATCCGATGCAATAGATCACAAAATGAAAGATTTTTAACGACAAATTAAAACATTATTTATCTATGGGATTTTGAGCCCATTTTACTTTAACTATTCATTGTAATTCATTGTAATAGCCCAAGGTGCATTCTTTGCAATGAATGGCTTGCATTTTCCAACAAAGTACTCCACCGATTCCGAAGAACAACAGATATATCTGCATGTTTCAAAGTTTCATAGTAATTTCTTGCATCTTCTGGAAAGAGAGCTGGCTTCCTTTGTCAAGCTTTGCAAGGAAAGGCTCAACTTCATAACCAGTTACCAAGTTCTTATTTTTTAAATAAGTAAAACAGATCCAAAACACCATAGGTATTATATACATTTCACTATTATAAGAGGCCTGAGTGTATTTCTTTGGTTTGCTGACCAAGTTGTGCTGATGAGTCTTGAATAGGCGAAACTGCAGTCCAATCAAAGAAAGCATTAGGCCTCTACGTCACAGATTCTGTTTTCAGTTTCACCTCTGGTGAAAAAGAATAGAACTCTTTAACACACACACATATATATATATAATCATAAAACATCATTTTGTCTTAGTCACATCAAGAACTTTCCCATAACGATCATACGTAATTTAACTATGTCTTTTAACTACATTGTATAAAAATAGTCTCCAAAAGAGTTAGGATGTTACATTTTATATCACATTGTGTAATTATTAGTTTGTCCCCTGATGGATCAGCGTTAATTGTGCAAACTCACAACGCTAATGTCGAGTTCGATTTCCCTTGGTAACAGAGCCTAGATAATCCACTATATAGCTTTGCGCTAAAATAAATATATAATAAGAATAAACAGTTTATTGATTAAATAAAAAATCATGGAAAATTGGAAAAGTTAGGATTTCATTTATGATACATAGTGGTATTTTTCTGCGATGTCTTATTACACAATCATACTTTACATTATTAATGTAGTTTTTATTTCATCTATGAAATTTGAGAGTTGTTGCAATAGAAAGGTAAAAATGATGCTTTTTGAAGTTTGAGGTATTTGATTGTGACGGAATAATACTTCCTCTTTCATCCTCTTCAGCTTTAGTGGAAAATGGTTACCATAGGGACAACCCGTATCATAATGCAGTTCATGCAGCTGACGTCACTCAAGCGTTACATTGTTTTCTCCAGGAGAAAACTGTAAGTATCGTACACTCCTAATTTATGCTCGGAGATTAATTCAATCTTCCGAAGATAAAGTCAGTGGTATATTAAATTGCTAACAGTGAAAGATGTGTATTGCAGCGATGATTGTTCTTCACTGACAAGTACAAGGTATCAAATATCGTTGAATCTGAGATATACTCAGTTAGAAATAAAGTATATGAAAACCAATCATGATGAAAAGTAAACAATTTGAATGTTTGCTTTTGATCAAATCCATTATTGTAATATGACAGTTAGAAGTAAACTTGTGTCTAACGTGTGATTAGTTTTCTTCTTACTGCTATACAGAATAACTCCTCAACCAAGCTCAATAATAGATTTTGTGGAAATATGTCCACAGAAGGACTGGTAGAAATGACATAAAGTTTGGACTAAGCAGATGGTTACTATTATTGCTGATCAACTTTGGGATTGCAGTGAAACACACACACACTCCCAGTGGCACAGCGTTTGTCTGCGGACCTACACAGCTAGAAACCGGATTTCAATATCCGCGGTGGGTAGAGCACAGATAGCCCTTTGTGTAGTTGTGTGCTTGATAACAAACAACAACAACAACAGTAAAACAATGCGAATAGAAGAAGAGGAATGGGAGGATGAGTTAAAAATATAATTCAGCACAATAAGAGGAAGACAAAATTGAAGATTACAAACAATTAATAAATTGCGAGAAGCGAAATTGAAGACGAAGAATGGATAAAAAAAAAAGCGGCAGAGTTAAAGTGTTCCGAACAAATGAACAAAAGACCGGATTGAAGAGTAGAAGGTAGGAATGAAAGCAATAATCCAACAGAAAGAGAAGACAACATTGAAAATTCAAAAAACATTTAAAAATGACAAATATAACATTCTATTGCTGGATAATAAGCGTTAAATAAAATTGAAAACTACGGTAGAAGTGGAGGAACGGTAAACAAGAGTATGGATTACATTCCAGAGCGACGAATGGAAATATAGATTGAATGCTATATTCTAAAGGAAAAATCTGAAGTTGGGATTGAAGGTTACAATATAGGATGACAAAGGATATGCATGATTGAAAACTACAATTTAGTAGCCTAAAATGGGAAGCAAGCACGAATGTCAAAAACTCAGGAAGAAGAATTAAAGACGAGAGTGACAATATCTTTCCTGAAGAATGAGCAGAAGATGCGATTGAAATTAAGTGTAAAAAAAGTAGATGTAAAAATAAAAAAAACAAGACTAAGTCGCAGAAAGACCAATGTAGAGGAAAATGAATAATTCAACACAAATAAACGAATGTAAGGTGAGATTGAAAACTTCAACCCAGGAGACCAGTTGGAGAATTAGGTCGAATATAATAGTCCAACACAAATAAACGAATGTAAGGTGAGATTGAAAACTTCAACCCAGGAGACCAATTAGAAGATTAGGTCGAATATAATAGTCCAACACAAATAAACGAATGTAAGGTGAGATTGAACACTTCAACCCAGGAGACCAATTAGAAGATTAGGTCGAATATAATAGTCCAACACAAATAAACGAATGTAAGGTGAGATTGAAAACTTCAACCCAGGAGACCAATTGGAGGATTAGGTCGAATATAATAGTCCAAAGGTAGAACAAATGAAAATCGAAATTTTAATTCACATAAAGTTGGAATAAGAAATGGAAGAATATATCTCAAATGGAAGAATGGAAGAAGATATCTCAGATGGAAGAATGGAAGAAGATATCTCAGATTGAAGAATGGAAGAAGATATCTCAGATGGAAGAATATATCTCAGATGGAAGAATATATCTTAGATGAAAGAATGGAAGAAGATATCTCAGATGGAAAAATATATCTCAGATGGAAGAATGGAAGAATATATCGAATAATCCGTCTTGGAAAGACGAATGGCAAGCGAATTTATAAAAGTGTGGTTTCCGGGAGTTTGAATTAATATCACCCTTGTTGCTGGGCTCTTTGAAATATCTTATACAACATAGATGGTAGCACTAGTTAAAACATTGGAATAATTTTGGGATACATTAAATTCCAAAAAATTTTAAGTGTACAGTTTTATTTTGGTCTCGTTTGCCATTTTTGAAAAACGTATAGCTCATAAAACGTTGTCACTGTAAAGTGTAAGTTGGAATAATTATTTTTCAAGAAGAAACATCTCTAATTGATATTTGAAATTCAATACTATTTGAACAGATTTCGAAGCATTTGACTTCCTTGGAAACCATGGCCTCTCTCATAGCAGCAGTCTGTCATGATCTTGACCATCCGGGTTTCAACCAACCTTTCCTAATTGCCACTTCCAACCACCTAGCGGTGTTGTACAAGGTTAGAGTTAACGTACTACTATCATATTATCAATTAAATCATCAAGCGATTCTGTATAAAGTTAGATTCAATCAAAACTATTTTGTGTTTATCGTTAAACCCGCAAGCGATAGAATGTAGAATATTTAATATATACAGTTAATGTATGCTACTGTGTTTGAACTGTGTCGTTTCTAAGTTTTTGTAAGTGTGGTACAGCTTAAAACATTGACAATCACCATTTCTAGTGTTAAGCTTGTGCCACTTGAACCTAATTAACGTAAAGAAAGTATTTCCTCAATTATATTGGGCCAGTGTGGCTAGTAGTTAGCGTGCTCCGACTGTGAATATGCACAATGCAGCCGTGGATACATTATAAGAGTGACAGTCAAATTATATTCTGTGTCCAGAGTGTCCTAAAATTTGTCTGTGGTTGCTGTTGACTAGTTTCCTACCCCCTAGTCTATAAGTTCAAAATTAGATTTAGTTATGCACAGATAGCTTTTTTGTGTAGTTTTGCGCCCAAATTATGAAACAAACAAACAAAATCTGCTCCATCTTAATGGACAGTATAAATCTTCTTCTTCTTTCTTCCAAGCAGTGACAATCCCAACAACATTTACAAACAGTGGGAGTCCCAACAACATTTACAAACAGTGACAGTCCCAACAACATTTACAAGCGTGACAGTCCCAACAACATTTACAAGCAGTGACAATCCCAACAACATTTACAAGCAGTGACAGTCCCAACAACATTTACAAACAGTGACAGTCCCAACAACATTTACAAGCAGTGACAGTCCCAACAACATTTACAAACAGTGACAGTCCCAACAACATTTACAAGCAGTGACAGTCACAACAACATTTACAAGCAGTGACAGTCCCAACGACAATTCCAACAACATTTACAAACAGTGACAGTCCCAACAACATTTACAAGCAGTGACAGTCCCAACAACATTTACAAACAGTGACAATCCCAATGACATTTGCAAGCAGTGCTATTAACTCTTATATATTAACACCATTAAAATATTTTTATACCCACTTTGTTTGTTTGAAAATTTAGTTTTATATGTGAACATACATCCTTAACTTATGATTACTCCATTCGTAGAGATCTGCAATTTGTTCGAGATATATAGTTAGGTATAGTAACAGAATAAATATTATTTTTGTAGCTAACGAATTTATAACTTTACCATTTAATAGAATTTTTCTGTGTTGGAAACACACCACTGGCGGATGGCGGTCTCGTGCCTCCGGGAATCAAGGTTGTTGGATCATCTAGAGAAGGAAGTTTGGTAAGTAGGGTCTGTCTGTACACTGTGATAATTCGTCTGTTTCAGTTCGTTACATTTGTGTATCTGTATTTTGTATTTATTATGCAGCTAATAAGGCTGCCTGGCGGTTACATTTACGATGATGAGATTGCTTATGACTAGGTTTTATTTATTTTTGTCCATATTATTTTCATTGTAATTTATACCTATTAAAAATTAAAATCAACCCGTTCATTTGTCTACAAAGATTTATAATAGCATTTAACAGCATCATAGTTAACACTGTTGTTGTTGTATTTTTAGCGCAAAGTCCACAATGGACCATCTGTGCCTTGCCCACCGAGGGATATCGAATCCCGGATCTTAGGTTATAAGTCCACAAACTTACCGCTGACCACCTGGAAAATATAAATGCACATACCACTGTGAGAACACTGATTTTTTTAAAGTAATTACAAAAGTATGCCTAATTTCAGTGACATAATTACCAAAATTCGAAACAGTATAATTAATTACAGTATAACCTATCCAGAGGTGGGTCGGCGGTCTTACAAGCTAGAATTTGAGGTTCGATTCCATGCGATGGACATAGTGCAGATATTCCATTGTGTAGCTCTGTGCTAGAAAACAACAACAATACAACCTTCAACAACCATGAAAGAAATGTATTTTTCATCACTACATTGTGATCGTTAATTATCAAGTGTTTTTACCCTGAGGTAATGGTAATTTCATGTATGTGCTTTATTTTAATAAAAGTCTTACAACATTCTCTCAACCACATGCTCACACATACCGACTTTAAAGAAAGCATTTTATCACTATTACCATCACCAAATTACGCTCAAAAGCTCCCAAAAAACTCATTTAACGTTATAAGTCTGTAAACTTACCTCTTACTCACTAGGAGATTTTTGACATCAGAAAAGAAAATATGATAAATGTATTAACCCAAACAAAACCCATATGTGTTAAGAATCCCGGCATGAAATAATCATTTCAACAAGATATTGTTAAATGTTATTGTAAGACAAGTTCTGTTACTAATCTTCCCGCCATGGTTCAGTTATTAACTTGAGGACTTATAACGTTAGAATTTGTAGTTCGATTCTTGCGGCGAACACTTTTTCATAATAACTTTAGAATCTACTTCTGTTGTTCGTTTCAGTACTCTCATTGTTATTTCTCCTTGTTTTCATTTAGTGCTGTTTAATACTTCTTACAACAGCTTGTATCTTTTGCAATCTTAAAAAGTGTCCCGAAATAAAATATTGGAGTCATCAGTTGTGTTTTACGGATAAAAGTATTGTGGTAATTTATATTGTCATGCGAATTGAGTGCTTCAAGAAATTGTCAGATGAGCTCCAAGGATCGCACGTTTAAAGATCAATATAAAAAAAAATTGTATACTATCTTGTATATTTTCTGTGTATTATTTTGGAATATAATTCCTTATACAATCTGGAACACCGAGAAACATTTTAGAACAATTAAGGAAACACATACCACTTGTGGGTGTGATGCTTGGAGAGAGCTGAAACCTTTATCGAGCACATGATGTCCTTTTATGTTCAGAATTTAAATGATAAATTTTAGAGTAGAACACTGTGAACTTGGAAAAAAAATTAGAGATTAAAAACAAATTATTGTATCAGTTCGTATCGATCTATATATAAATGTATTGCGTGTTTTCTTTACAACTTCATGAAGATTTTTCAGAAACTAATATATCAATTTGTATATATGTGTGTGTGTGTTTATTGAACCAGAATTCAATGAAACAAGGCTATTTAGATTTTTTCAATATGGATTTATAACATTATTTGTTTTGATTTAAGTGTGATTTAAATTTTGTGAGACTATTTAGAAATGGTAACTTAACGTCTACGTTTGGATGCTATTATTAGGATGCATATTACACACTCACTGAATTACGCTCTTGAGTATTTTATAAAATATTATATAAAAAAGTAACTACTAACATCTCCAAAGTACAATCATAACATTAGGCTGAATTGATGTTAAACTCCTTCCAAAATAAATAACGATATGATTTTAGGCTTTTGTTTATTGGACTTATTGAACCGTTATATTTAACATGAAAGTAGCTTCAAAGATAAGTGTGAATGACCGGTACTTTTATTTAAAGTCTAATAAATAATTAGAAGGCGTTGAAACTTGTAGTGTGTTTTTAAAGTGAAAGCCGTTATGCCTTTAATAATTATTCTTTAGATACGAAACATTGTATTTAACTCATTTAATGGCCATCTTAATAGATGTTGATATTACAATTTAGGTTTATTGTTAGACATTTATTTATGTTATTCTCTAATGTGAAGCTAGAATGTAGAATGTTCACTTGTGTTATCCTCTAGTGTGAAGATAGAATGTAGAATGTTTATTTGTGTTATCTTCTAATGTGAAGCTAGAATGTAGAATGTTTACTTGTGTTATCCTCTAGTGTGAAGATAGAATGTTGCATGTTTACTTGTGTTATCCTCTAGTGTGAAGATAGAATGTAGAATGTTTATTTGTGTTATCCTCTAATGTGAAGCTAGAATGTAGAATGTTTATTTGTGTTATCCTCTAATGTGAAGATAGAATGTAGAACGTTTATTTGTGTTATCCTCTAGTGTGAAGATAGAATGTAGAATGTTTATTTGTGTTATCCTCTAGTGTGAAGATAGAATGTAGAATGTTTATTTGTGTTATCCTCTAGTGTGAAGATAGAATGTTGGATGCAGTCAATGATTCTAGCGACAGACATATCTCGTCAGCAAGAGTTTCTTGAAAAGCTGAAGGTTTGTACTTCTTTGCTTAAGTCTATTGAATTATTACCTTTACTCCTAAATTTTATTAGTACAGTCAAAACTATTAGGCCTTTAGGAATTTTTGAAAAAAGTGTAACTGGGTCAGATAATGGTGACCTTCTTTACCTTCAATGTCAGCGTAGATGATTGGGCTTCATTTTGTTAGAAATCATGGAGCCTCTAACGAGAAAGTAACTGGGACGACAGTCTTTCATCTCGGCGTTTATCTGGAACTGCTCACAAACGAAGAAGTAGAAATTTTTGTCTCTCATGCAAGACTTATAAGATAGTCCAGAAACTTTTCACTTATCGCAATGCCTTACACTTAAATATAGGAGTAGC